AAAAATTTCATTAAATTATAGCATAAAGTGGCACATAGGGACTTAAAGTTGGAAAATATCTTATTGGATGCGAATAATAATGCAAAAATTGCCGACTTTGGACTTTCAAATTATTTCTCCGACAAAGCACTATTGAACACATTTTGTGGCAGTCCACTTTATGCCTCGCCTGAAATCATTAATGGAACACCGTACAGGGGTCCTGAGGTTCATATAATTTTCTCAAATTTATTCATTTCAATTAAAGATTTTTTCTCTTATTTATTTACGTTAATTGAGTTAAATTAGAAATCCAATTATTTTCCTCCTTGTAACTGTTAGTTTACATTTTCACTAAAAATGCTATCTTTTTTTTTTTACCTCCTTTTCGTTATCTACATTACAATACATTTTGCTTTACTTTCGTTGTTGAATTGAAAATTTTCTTATAAGTAAAAAAATTTTTTCTAATCTATATAAAATTCAAGATAAAAAAGTTGACAAAATTATGAAATTTCAAAAGTTCATTTATTATTATGGTAAAATATAAATTGCAGGTGGACTGTTGGAGTTTAGGAATTCTTCTCTACACACTTGTTTACGGGTCAATGCCATTTGATGGTCGTGATTTCAATCGAATGGTTAGACAAATTAAGCGTGGCGCATATTTCGAGCCTGATACTCCATCAAGTTTGTTTTATTACACTAATTATTCAATTCATCTGCTCTTTTCTTGTTTTATTATCGGATATTTTTTTTTCATGAAATAACTAATAATAAATTATAGGCAATAATATTTACCACAATAATATACCTTAGTTTTTTATCATTTTTTTTAGCCGCTTCAATGTTGATTAGAAATATGTTACGAGTTAATCCAGAGAGACGAGCAGATATTGATGAAATTGCCAGTCATTGGTGGCTAAATCTAGATGAAAATATGCCTGTCATTCAAGAACTTCCGGAAAATCAGGTTAAATTATTTCAATTAACAAAAATGTTTTGTTATTGTATTGTATGTTAGCTTATAAGAAGCATTTAAAAAATCACAAATTTTAGATCATCGATCATACACCATTAACTGATCGAGCAGAAACAATGATAGTACAGGATTTAGCTGATGAAGCTGATGTATTCATGGATTTCGGCCATTTAAGTCCTTCGACTAGGTTTTCCGTTTCTTTTTTTTTAAATTTTACTTTATATTTTCGATGTAGCAATAAAAAAACGAATTTGGAAGAAAAAAAGAGACAATTTTACTTCAATATGCATGTAAATTATTGTTAAATTATTTGCAGACTTAAAATTGAGGAATTTCGTAGACGACGTAAAGAAGCTGAAGAATACATCGAGAATTCACCAATAAAACCACCAAAAGCACGGAGAACAGATGGCACCAAATTGCCATCATTTACAGCAGCAGAAAAAAGCTTACGTTATGATCCTGTATGTTTATGAAATTTTAAAAAAATTCTATGAAAATTTTTAATTTAATTTGAAATCATCCTTATGACTTACAGCGATTAAGTAAGGAAAAGGAGCGTGAGCAAGTATCGGTGGTGGAAGAACCGGATGCATATTATGAACCATTGGAAAGACTGAAACGATTGGAATCACGATTGCAGGGCAGAGATAATCAGGCAGTTATTACAGATAACAAATTGTCAAATATATCTAATTCGGTAAGAATATATTAAGTAATTGATTTCTCTTATCCATTCTTGAATTGATAAAATTCAAAATTCTTTTCATATATTTTTTATTTTTTATAGACTCCAGCAAACAAAGAAGTTCGTCGTTTTAAGCAAACAGCATTGGGAACCGTTAGCGAATGTAATAATAGCACTAGCAGAATGAAGATCAAATGTGAAAGATTGAGTCCAGAACAGCCTGATGATCCGGTCACTTCGAATTCCAAGATCAGGTTTGAATCAATTCTGGCATCACTATTTACTTATCAATTAACAGATCATTCTTTTCCAAAAAAAAAACATATTGAAATCACTCTTCAATGCGCTTCTAAAATTAGGCGTTTGTCGTCGTTTCCTTTTTTTGTAATAAGATATGAGGGAGAACCTTCTTTTCTTGCTTCTTTCTTACTCATATTTTTTTTTGAGTTATCGCTGATCCGAATAAGACTTATTTATTTTCGTCCTTTCATTCTTGACGTATCCTTAGCTCGCTTGCTTCGAATCCGGCTGGTTGGACCAAAAAATATTGTCGTCGTTCTTTTCTGACTGTGACAATATTTAGAGTCTGATTGCAATCTTTCGTCGTTCTTTGACTATGACAATATTTAGTTACTGTAGACCCCAAACATGGGTAATTAAACTTTTAACAATAGTAGTAAACACAATGTTAAAACAAGAAACAAGCGGTACAAAATGAAACCAAACACACAGCTCCAAAGAAGAAGTAGAACGAATGAAGAGATGAACGATGATTTGATGTCTTATATAGGCGAAGTATACATGCATATCATAACGCGGGAAAATAAGGAAAGATATTGGAGGATATAAGAGCAAAGGAGATCATGTAAGACAATAATTGGAGGCGAGGATAAGAACGGATATGAAAGTATAAGATGAATCAGTTAATAGTGCTATTTGGTTGACAGGAACATCAACAGTGACACGTATTAACATGCATTAAGACACAGTAATATTCCTTATTACAATTATATCTA